TAAATATTTAGCAATGGCCTCTCTAGGGAAAAAAAATACCTGATTCATAGCATTTGCCAGCTTCCATGGTGGAATATTAAGAACAAATAAACTCAAAAACATAGATGAAATATAAAAATTCTGTGAAAGACAATAATGACCAAAATCAACTCAAGCGAAAGTAGGAAGCCCAAACAGCCCCATATTTAGTAAAGAAAATGAATTCATAAATCTACCCACAAGAAAAATTGCAAGTACGGATGGCTTTACTAGGGAAATATATCAATTGCACAAGGATTAAATTGTATTAATCTTGCACAAAGCCCTTCATAGAGGAGGAAACACTTCCCAACTCATTTTTTGATTCTAGAATTTATACTATTACCAAAATTAGGTGAAGGCATCATGAGAAAAGAAAATTACAGATCAGTATACTTCATGAACAGAGATGAAAAGAAAATCCTTTGCAAAATGTCAGCAGATTGAATCCAGTAAAAACATATAATTTATATATAAATTATGGTTTTATATAATTTTTTTATATAATTTATATATAAATTATATGTTTTTACTGGATTCAATCTGCTGACATTTTGCAAAGGATATATGCGTATATATATGTGTATATATGTGTATATATATAATACATGATGACCAGGAATGTAAGGTTAGTTTGACATTCAAAATAAATTGATATAATTCACCATATTAACAGAATAAAGAGGAAAAACTATATGATCATCTCAAGATACAAAAAAAAATCTGAAAAAATTCAGAAATTCAGCACTCATTCATTGTGTGTATAACTCTCAAATAAAGTAGGAATAGAAGAGATTGTTTTCAACTTGATAAAAGACAACTAAAAAAAGCCTGCAGTTAATATTAGACTTAAGTGCGAAAAGACTGAACACTTTCCCTAAGATAGAGACAAAGGCAAGGATGGTCACTCTTCATCACTTCTATTCAACATATCGCTGCAGGCCACAGGCAGTGCAATAAAGAAAATCGAAGTGAAATGCATAAAATTGTTAGGGAAAAACACTGTCTTTATTTGCAGATCATGTAAGTATAAAAGGCAAAGCTATTTCTAAAATATCTACTAGAACTGCTGCAGGAATTTAGCAAAGGTATAAGATACAATGCCAATATTCAAAAATCAGTTCATTTTTATAAACTGGCGAAAAAGAATGAAAAAAAAAATGTAATACTCGGCCAGGCGCAGTGGCTCATGCCTGTAATCCCATCACTTTGGGAGGCCGAGGCAGGCAGATCACGAGGTCAGGAGTTCTAGACCAGCCTGACCAATGTGGTGAAACCTCATCTCTACCAAAAATACAAAAATTAGCCGGGCGTGGTGGTGCAAGCTCATAATCCCAGCTACTCAGGAGGCTGAGGCAGGAGAATCGCTTGAACCCAGGAGGCAGAGGTTGCAGTGAGCCGAGATTGTGCCACTGCACTCCAGCCTGGGTGACAGAGCAAGACTCCATCTCAAAAAGAAAATATCTATATCTATCTATATCTATATCTATATTTATAATATTCTCCACAGTAGCATCACAAAAAATGTTTATGAATAGGTTCAATAAAATATACGCAGTATCTGTATATTGAAAACCACAAACATTGCTGAGGGAAATTAAAGAAGACCCAAGTAAATAGAGATTCAAATTATCTTCATGGATTGGAAGATTCAATATTGTTAAAATGTTAGCTCCCTCCAAACAGTTACCATGAGAGTTCTAGCAGGATATTTGTATAAATTAACAAACAGAGATTCTAAAATTTAAATGGAAATGCAAAGGACTTAAAACAGTCAAAACAATTTGGAAAGGAAGTGGGAGCCTATGATAAGCATAATTCCAACATGACACCAAGATTCCATTCCCTGCTGCATCATCGAGTACAATCCCCTTCTGTCGAGTGTGGGAGAGACCTGTGAATACGATGGGATTTCACTCACTTGATTAGGTTATGTTATATGGCAAAGGTGAAGAGAGTTGCACCAGTGGCTTCATCCAGGACTGAAGTGGCTTTATACCTGTGTTTGGACACCCAGACCAAATGTAAACCTTTGGTCCTCACCCTCCAGAAATAGACATGCCTTAACCACCCTTCAGGCTAAGGCAAACACACATTTATTGCACAGTCTACCTTTGGGGTCAGACCCGAGGACGAGGTCCACAAATGCCCTGAGGCATGCTCATGACTATGCGGGCAGGAATTCCAGGCTCACGGTTACTTCAGGTGTGATCTTGAAGGGAAGAGGTGCATGCTCTGTATAGGCAAGCCACTGGCTGTGGGATCTCTTCACTCCAAGGGAAGGGAGGAGGCTCAAGGTGGCTGGAATAGAGCCTCCCCAAACAGCACGTGTCAAACTTGTATCATAGGATCTTACTGAAATGCACTACCAGAGCAGATCAGAGTGAGACCTGTGATCCTGCACATTTTATTTTTATTTATTTATTAACATTCTTTTATTTATTTATTTATTATACTTTAAGTTCTGGGGCACATTGCAGAATGTGCAGTTTTGTTACATAGGTATATATGTGCCATGGTGGTTTGCTGCATCCATCATCTCGTCATCTACATTAGGTATTTCTCGTAATGCTATCCGTCTCCTATTCCCCCACCCCCTGCTATCCCTCCCCTTTTTCCCCACCCCCCGACAGGCCTCAGTGTGTGATGTTCCCCTTCTTGTTCCTTGTATTCTCATTATTCAACACCCACTTATGAGTGAGAACATTCAGTGTTTGTTTTTGTGTTCTTGTGTCAGTTTGCTGAGAATGATGGTTTCCAGCTTCATCCATGTCCCTGCAAAGGAGATCTTGAAGGGAAGAGGAGCATGTTCTGCATAGGCAAGCCACCCACCCATGGGATCTCTTCACTCCATGGGAAGGGAGGAGGCTCACGGTGGCTGGAATAGAGCCACCCCAAGCAGAACATGTCAAACGTGTATGTACATAGGATCTTATTGAAATGCAGGATCAGAGCAGATCAGAGTGAGACCTGGGATCCTGCACATTTTAAAAGCTCTCCAGTGACATGAGTGCTGCTGACTCACTTTGAATAGCTGTGCCTGGAAATCATGGGGCAGAGTAGTACTGCCATGCCTGCCCCTGTCTCCCTAGCATCGGAGCACATAATCAACCCTAACTGAGGTGGTGTCACTTAGAGTTGTCAAATCTATGCAGCAAAAGACGTGAAAACAGGAATGGCTATCTTTAATTGTTCACTCTCTGTCACTAATATCTGTATGTGTGATATGTCATGTGATTCATTGGTCACCACTCCTTGCCAAGTACTAGCTTAGAAACGATAGCCAGTTGCTTAAAGACGTTATTCTGATCTCACAGAATCTCTTATTTTCAACCTTTTATCTGTCACTTACCCAAGCCATTGTGCTACAAGATCCCTACTATCCTCAAGTTTTCTAAAACCCTTTTTCCTAAAGCTTCATTTTCACAGACCTCAAGACAGCCTGGGAATACATCCTGATTGGTTCCACTACAAAATCTTGTTATTCGATCTCCGTTGGGCCCTCTGATTCATGATAGTCTTCCTTTTTAATATTTTATGGACTTCCTAGCTCATTATCCACAGCAGTGCCCCGAATCCACTCTTTGTGCTCAGCTCTGTTTCCAACTGTCAGCAAAAGTGCTTGCATTTCACTTTAAAGAACGCTTCATCTGTGTTTATAATCCTAATCCCTTTCTTTTCCTGGGCTTTGCTTATCAGTCATTCCCTGTCTCTCTATCTCCTTTTACTCTGACTTCTAGCCAATCAGAATATTGCCTGGACTTGCTAGTTTGTAAGAGCATACACACCCTCATAATCCCTGTTACATGTCTCAGGCAGCCGGCCTCCTTTGCCTTCCCTCACTGCCCACGACCGTGAAACAGGAGTCACGTCTTACTGCCTCTACCTGTCACCTACCAACACTTAAATCTCTTGCATTCTGGCCTTTACTTCCACCAACCTACCAAAACCACCAATTTGAAGTGACATGAAACTATTTATTATTTTTATTAATAAAATATGGGAGCATAGATGAGCTATAAAATGAAGTAGAAATTGTTTCTGTTTAATATTCATGCTGTATTTTTCCATTTTGCAGCATTTTTTATGTTGAGACATCACTCTACAGAGACTTTGATCTCTTCCTATGGGATGGTTCCCTTTTTTATGCTACATTTTTTGACATTTACAAAAACATACACTTTTTCTTTTAAATTCAGGGCAGAAGGTTAAGACCTCTGGCCATTCATTATTTTATCTGAACTTCTTTTCTCACCATTAGTTGGAAGAGGGTAAAATAATACATTGAGTACTCTATTCTCTTTTGATGATTATGTTGCTGTTGGGCCAAAACAAACCTTTGGAATCCAGATGAACTTCTAAGTTATTCCAAGAGAATTAGGAATCTTCCTTTACCCTCCATGGACCCAGTTTCTCAATGCAGCTAAAGCCCTTGCTTAGTCTGTATAAATTAATACATTTGTTGGAAATGTGACTTTTGGAGATTTTATAGCAGTGGTTTCAATGCTGCTAGTGGTGAAGTGGAAATTTGAGAATGTGAAGATTAATTTAAACCACATGATGGGTTCAAGGAAAAGGGACATACCCTGCCGTTTCCTGAGTGTGTGCTAACTCTAGATAGTGGGGAATGGGATCCGAAAAAACCACCAGTGAACTTTTAAACCCTCTTGAGAGGAATCAAACCAGCACAATTAGCCCTGAAACGGAGCTGTTCGTGAAAACAGGCCTCTTCTCTCTCTCTCAGAAACAGATCCCTTTGCCTGAAAGAACACAATTGGGAAATCAGAGAGAAGAGGCATCTTTACTTTTGCTAGTAATGGAATGAAGCTAGACCTGTGTTTCCAATCATTAGCTGGTTTACTGATCTGTCTTTAGTCATAGATTCCAAATTGTGTTGGGTTCTTTTAACTGTTGTTAACCAATAAATTCTATGTTGTGGATAGTTGATGACCTTGAAGTAAGAGAGTTCTTTTTCCTTCCAGTTTGTTGTAGCGGTGTTCTGGATCATTTATGCCTATGACAGAGAGATGATATACCCGAAGCTACTGGATAATTTTATCCCAGGGTGGCTGAATCACGGAATGGTGAGTGGATTAAAACAAATGGCTTTCTTTTAATTTAAAAAATCTATTAAACAGCTATTATCTACTATTTAGATCGTCCATAGAATTTACCTAAAAGCCATGAAATCTTGGAAGGTTATAATGAGAGATTAAAATTAGAGAATACTATAATATTTACTGAATATAAATAGAAACCTCGTCCATGAGTCATGATTCAAACTATGTAGTAGATGAATTCACAGATTATTAAGGTGGGTGTGTCAGTGGTGTTAAATAATATAACTAGCCAATTCTGGGATGAATTTAATTTCCGTGCCATTAGAAGGCTTGTCCTCAGAGCCCAAGGACGGATTCCCACCTACACAGCCACCAGCCCTCTGCTCCACCTGCACCTCACATCCACAGAATTGTGTTGGAAATAACTGCTGCAGCTGGACAGTTTCCCCCAGATGGGCAGCAAGGCTGTTATTTTCCCTCGGAGATCTGTTGCAGGCATTTGGAGGTGTCTTTAGCAATGGAATGGTTTGCCTCATCGGGTTCTTCACCAGTTTGGGTGTTTGCCTGTGGCTTTGAGGCCTTCTTCTTCTCAGTCTAATTCTTTCTGATGCTTTAGCCATGGTGTTACCCTCACTAATTTCAAAGCCAGTGCTTTGGATGGTTTTCACATCACTTTACAACATTTGAGGATATATTTTCTGCAGTGAAATTTTGTATCATCTTCTCTTTCAGCTTTTGGAATTGAGCACTATTTTTTATTAGCTAAGAAGCATGCATTTTGATTACAGCAGTTTTTAGAATATGTCCCAAGGTGTTCCTGTTGAAAAGGGCAGCCCATCATAGGAAATTACAGGGGAACAAGAACTGGAAATCATGTCTTGGGTACAAAATAACTCTGCCCCCAATTTTGGTATATTTGAAGAAAAGTGGTGTGTCTAACAAACAAACATTACTGTACCGAAGAGTTTTGATCAATCCTTTCTTAAGCCAATGCATCAAAAGTGACACATCTCAGAGAACTGGATTTTTCTTTGAGTTCGTTTAGAGCCGCACTCTTGAAGGATTAACATGGCACCTCTGGTCTATTTCCAAACACATCAGCTGAGTCTTGTCAGTTCAATTTAGCCATCCAAGGGGCTTGGCATGGTTACTATGCCCCCCTCCAACTTTTTGCTTTCCTTGCATGTGAACAGCACGTTGTAACTCCATGCCTTTGCAATCTTCTGCCCCAAATGCCCTTCTCAATCTTTCCTGACAAATTCCTTCTCATCCTGCTAGCTTAGTTCCTATCTTGTTTAAGAAGCCGTTCCTAACTCCCCAAGCAAAGTTAGCTGTTCTGTTACTTGTGCTTATACAGCACTTTCCTATCTCTATTATGCATGTCTGTATCCCCACAAACATGTTAAACTCCTAGTGCAAAACAGCCTTTGAATTCCAAGCACTTCGCCCAGTTGTCTGGCATACAATAGGATCAATACATATTTATTAAATTGATGAATGAATTCACTATAGCCAATTTCCATAATTCTTTGCCAGTTACATAGCTACCATTTTTTTTTTTTTTTTTTTTGGAGAATGTACTGGTGTGCCAGGCACCCAACAGTGATTGTATCATTAAATTTTCACAATGGCACTACAAATGATCTCATTTGCAAATGAAGAAACTGAATCTCAGAAACATTATATAATTTTCCCAAATGACCTAGCTCAGCATGGTAGAAGTGGGATCTGAACCCAGGCCTATCTGGGGTTCACATTTTATCATTTTATCTGTGGCCACATTTTATTTAAACAGGCAAAACATTTAATTGATTCTTGATAAAAATTATAATATTGCATAGCTTTTACAACAGTAAGTCAACAAAGTATAAGAGAAACATCTTCAGGGTATTTTGAAGCTTAGTTTCGAACTGTTTAGCATATTTCAGCTGTCTAAGATAAACCAGTCAATAATTAGGTAGGTATTGTTAAGAAAAAGATAGTATGAAATTCATGACCTCCAAAATCTGAGTTGGAAATGGAAATAGGCTTTGCAAATTGTCATTTCAGTCATTACACCGAAAAACGTTATTGTGTGCTCAGTCAGTAGCAGGTTGGCCAAAAACAGGCATATTCTTGTACAAATAGTATCCTTTGTGACATCTCCAAATATGAGGAAGAGTAAATCACCTAGATAACTCTAATTAGAGTGTCCAAATTGTATGTATTAAAGGGAGACTCCTGAAACTGTGGCCTCCAGTTGAATGTGAAATGATGTCAGTTATCTTGTTCTGACATTAGAAGAGACTCTGCTGACAACAAATAATTGCATCACGTGCTATAGAATTAAAGTCTTGGACACTTTGGCCTATTGTTAACAGGCCTGAACTGCACAATATTACCTTCATACCAGAGAATGAATCACAACCTTTGTGGAGCTTGATTCTAAATTTTTAATGCTTTGAACAAATGGCTTATTAAGCATGTATGCAGCCATTAGAATTTTGACTTGCCTCTCTTAATTTTCCCTTGATTCACTTTGATGTCTTAAAATTCTTACTCCTAGAGACAAGTACTGCTTAGAAACACAAAGAGGAATTGAATGACAAATATTTAGGAAAGGGAAAAGATAAATTAGTTAATATATCAAATCCTGTGAGATAACATGAGCTCAGTCGCTTCTTTCACAATGAATTTTGTGTCCTAATAAAGATAAATGACCAGTTCTTTGCTTGTCCTCATGTTCCAATTCCTAGTTCCAAAATTACTGAGAAAAAAGAAGTTGCACACGGTGGCTGAGGAGTATTTTGTAATATTAAACAATTTGCATTACTTGAATCCTGTTTCTGTGTAACTAGATACAAAATGGATGAAGCATGATGCTGATCCTTTAGACTAGTAATTAAAATATGAACATTAAATGCTGGAATTATTAATACTTTTCATAAAATGTATAATGACATTTCAAAGGAATGAGCATTTTCTTCTTTGTTTAAATATTATTTAAAGTTTTAATAATTATAATCTGTATTTGCTTTTAATTCTAATTTGTTTTTAAATATTTAATTTAAAAATAGCATTTCTAAATATCTGTAAATTGGTCCATTCAAAATTTCTTAGCACCTGGGTAACGTGGTGAAACCCTGTCTCTTAAAAAAAAAAAATTAGCTGAATGTGGTGGTGTGATCCTGTAGTCCTAGCTACTCAGGAGGCTGGGGTGGAGGATTGCTTGAGCCCAGGAGGTCGAGGCTATAGTGAATCTTGATCATGCCACTGCACTCCAGCCTGAGTGACAGGAGTGAGACTCTGTTTAAAGAAAAAATAAATTCTCACATTTATTTAAATGTATATATTTTAAATAAAACAATTCAAATTGTGTACATTTTGATTATAATTAATTTTTTCAATTGATCTTTTAGATTATTATCCGTAGAGCTAAAATTTTGTGAAATTTTCCATTATAATGGCATATTTAGTAATTTTGCTGAAATGAAGGCAAGAAAAATAAAGTTTTAGAATATTTATATTCATATTATATTAAATATTTTGATATATTTATAGCTTATAAATATATATATCTGTTTTATTACTTAATCACATATTTTCTATTTTGTTTTGTAAAAATACATCTGACAATATAGGAAGATAAAACGTACTTTATTTAGTACTTCATTAGCTTTATTTGTAACTTTTCTTTTTTCATAAGTGTATATGCTTATTTTAACTTTAAATAGGTAACACATATGTATGCTATAAAATTTAAATGCTTCCCTGCCTCCTCTGTATACCAGCTACTTAATTCTTTTTTTCCTTTACTTGTACCATTTAAAATTAATTTTAATGTACATATAATAATTTAATATATTTACAGGATACAGAGTGATATTTCAAAACGTATATGATGTGTCACGATCGCGGTAATTAGCACAAGTGCTTTCTCAAACCTTTGCTATTTCTTTACGTTGAGAAGGTTCAAAATTCTCTCTTCTAGCTTTTTGAAAATGTACAATAAATTATTGTTATTCATTCTATATTGCTATAGAACACTGGAACTTATTCCTCCTACCTGGCTATAAAATGTGTGTCTGCTAACCAACCTGTCCATACCCTCCCCTCCTGGCTACCCTTCCCAACTGCTAATAACCACAGTTCTACTCACTACTTCTACAACCTCATCGTTTTCAGCTCCATCTTGTTCCAGATCTTAAAGGAAAAGCTTTCAGTTTTCTCTGTTTGGTATATTGTTAGCTGTGGGTTTGTCATATATAGCCTTTATTGTGTTAAGGTATATTCCATCTATACCTAATTTGTTGAGAGTTGTTACTGTAAATGATATTTAATTTTATCAAATACTTTTTCTGTATCTATTGAGATAATCATATGGTTTTTGTGCTTCATTGTATGTATAAGAGGTATCAGATTTATTAATTTGTATATGCTGAATCATCCTTTCATCTCTGGGATAAATGTAATCTTTTGGCCGTGCTGTTGGATTTCGTTTGGTAGTATTTTGTTGAGGATTTTTGCATCTATGTTCATGAGAGATACTGGCCTATAGTTTAATTTTTTTGGTCCTGTCCTTGTCTGGTTTTGGCATCATGGTAATGCTGGCATCATAGAATTAGGAATAATTCCCTCCTCTTTAATTTTTTGGAATATTTTGAGAAGTATTTGTGTTACTTCTTCTTTGTAAGTTTGATACAATTTAGCAGTTAAGCCATTCTGTCCTGAGCTTTACATTGTTGGGAGACTTTTTATTACTGATTCAATATCATTGCTTGTTATTGGTCTATTCGGGTTTTCTGTTTTCTCCTGGCTCAATGTTGATAGGTTATATGAGTCTAGGAATTTATCCACTTCTTCTAGGATTTTTAATTTGTTGGTACACAGTTGTTCATAATAATCTGTTCTGGTCCTTTTTATTTCTTGATCTGCAGTCAAGTGCGCTACCCCTGAGCTGTACCCCTTCCTGATCCTCTGTATTTCAGTGGTATCAGTTGTAATGTCTCCTTTTCTATTTCTGATTTTATTTATTTGAGTTTTCT